TGACCCCCAGTGCTCTCTGCCCCCGGAGACAGCTCAGTTGCATTTTGCATCACTCTAATGATTTGGAGAGCTCTAATTATTAGAAAGTATTTCCTTCTGTTAGAGCTGAAATGAGCCTCCCTGTGAATTCAAGATGCTCATCTTAGTTCTGCTTTCTGGAGTTTTCTGCTTGCCAGCCCTTCTGTAATCAAAGCAGCTGAAGGGTCCTCTTGTGTCCTGTCTCTGGACCGAGCATCCCCAGTTCCATTAACTCTTCCCTCCCTGTCCCTCGCCACCTGGTTCAGCAAGTGGGTCCAAAACTGAAGCCAGTTTTCCAGGGAAGGCCAGACAGATGAGAAAAGAAACTGCTACCTTTGCTCTTCTGGTCTCTATTTTTCTACTACAGCAGTTCTTTCCTTTTTATGAATAATGTTAAAATACGTCAGACACAATGTTGTTTAAAATCGTGTAAATTTAAAACTTGTCCAAACCAAACTACAGTCGATTCAGGGACATCACTCCTACATTTGGTACTGGTATGCCCCAGATCGCCGGCTTACTGGATGTATTTTACTACCCTGTGATACGGGGACTTCATTTCCCAATGCAAAGTTTATGCACTTTGGAGATAATTAGGGATAGCTGTTGCCTAGTGGACACATCTATTTTATTTCATGGCAAACAATGTGACTGCCAGTGGGCAATTTTTAAAGTAGTTAATGCATCTTCTGTTTCTCTTTAAAATTAAGTTTTACTTTTGGGAAAGATTACATCCCAAGACATCTAATTTTCTTTTTTTTAGCATTTTATGCTTGTGGACAAAAGGAAGTAGCAAAAGATTGTACATCTGTGTGCTCTAGACTTAGTGGAAAAGAAAGAGCAAGGCAAAAACCAGTTATAGGTTTGACCTACAGAGTAAGAGTTAAGGTCACTGTGCTGAAGACGTGTAAATCATGTAGTTCCCCTGGAAAAAGGGTTTTGTAGGAGGCCCAACAGGGCTGATCTGAGTACTTAGCACATCAATCAAGTGATGAGCCAGGGAGGCTGGGACTTTCTGGGAGTGGTAACAGCTCATCTGGTGGTACTGCAGTGTTAAACAGACATGAAGCTTCTTGACTTACTTCTCTTTGCCCCCATCAAAAAGTATAGCTTAAAATTAAAATGAGATACCGTATTTTGCCTGCTAAATTAGTAAAGCCTTTGTTTTGTTCATTTGGTTGCAATAACCAGTGCTGACAAGGCTGAAGTGTTGTGGGCACTCTTGTGGAGCTGGGTACCGTGGTACTATACTTTAGAACTGAGTTTCACAGCTGTTATCAAGAGCCTTAAAAATGTTTCTACTCTTTGATCTTACAACTCGAAAACAAACAAATAGCCAAATTAAAAATGGGCAAAGGAGTTGATTAAGACATTTCTCCAAAGATGTACAAATGGCCAACAAGCACATGAAACGATCTCGGCATCACTCATCATTAGGGAACTGCAAATCAAAACCACAAGAAGATACCACTTCACACTTATCAGGATGACTGCGAGCAAAAGGGAAAAAAACAAGGAGATAACGGGTATATGAAGAAATTGGAACAGTTGTACACCATTAGTGGGAATGCAAAATGCTGTAGCCACTATGGGAAATACTATGGCAGTTCCTCAAAAAATTAAGCATAGAATTAACATGTGATTCAGCAATTCTGCTTCCAGGTATATGTCCAAAAGAACTGAATAAGGACTCAAACAGATTTTGTACACCTAGCTTCATAGCAGCATTATTCACAAGAGCCAAATGGCAGAAGCAACCTTAATCAATAGATGGAGAAAGAAAATGTAGTGTACACATACAATGGAATATTCAGCCATCAAAAGCAATGAAAGTTTGATACACACTAACATGGTGAACCACAAGGATGTGCTAAGTGAAACAAGCCAGTCGCAAAAGGACAAACCCTGCATAACTCCACTTACATGAGGTATCCAGAGTGGTCACACTTACAGAAGTGGAAAGTAGCATGGTGAATGCCAGGGGCTGGGTGAGATTTATTTAATGAGTACAGTACAGTTCTACAAGATAAAAAGGTTCTGAAGATTGGTTGCACAGTAATGTGAATACACCCGGCCGTCTATAACCATGGTCCTGCATCTGCAGATACAGCCTGCAGTGGACAGAAAATACCTCCCCCCTCAAAATTCCAGAAATTCCAAAAAGCAGAAATTTAATTTACCACGTGATGGCAACTATTCACATAGCATTTACATTGTATTAGGTATTATAATCTAGAGGTGATGTGAAGTATTCCGGGAGGATGTGCGTAGGTTAAATTACACCATTTTATATGAGGAACTTGAGTATCTCAGATTGTGGTACCATGGAGGGTCCTGCACCCAGATCCTGCAGATACCGAGTGATGACTGTAGACTTAACAAAGCTGAACTGTACACTTTAAAGTGTTTAGGGTGGTAAAGTTTATGTGTATTTTACTACAATTCAAAAAAATGTTCTTACTCTTTATAACAGAAATTCCACTTCAAGTGAAAAATCCTAAAATACTGAGAAAAATATGTACAGAGAACCTTACTGATACTTTACTAAAGCAAAAAAAATTTTTGAAACAATTTAAAATGCCCTTAGAGAAATGAATATTATGGGGCACTAGCCTAGAATAACGTGAAAACATTAAAATGACTATAAGGAAGTGTGTAGTAACATGGAAAAATGCTTCAGAAATGTTGATTCATTCAACAAATATTCATTAGAATGGGACATGGCTTGATCCAGTAAGAAGTTTATTCTCTAGATGGGATGGGCTTCAGACTGAGAAAGCTCCTGTCTAGTTCACCATGGTATCTGCAGCACCTAAGCAGCGCTGGCACTTAGGACTTGTCGACAGGGTAGCGAGGCTGATATCGCACTTACAAAAATTTGATTCCAGGTAATAGATAAGTAAATGTTATCTTTAAATTAAAACCCTATGAAGGAAACTAATTCAAAAAGGTACTCCAGTGTTCACAGCAGCATTATTCACAACAGCCAAGCTATGGAAGCAACCTAAATGTCCATCAACAGTTGGCTGGATAAAGAAGTTGTGGTGTATATATACAATGGAATATTACTCAGCCATAAAAAGGAATAAAATAATGCCATTTGCAGCAACACTGATGGACCTGAGATTGTCATATTAAGTAAGCCAGAAAGGGAAAGAAAAATATATGATA